AATCTTTACTTTCTGATTGAACTATAGACTAGCACTTTAAAAAAGCATACAGGCGGGGCTAGAGAGATGGCTCAGTGGTTAAGAGCACTGACTGCTCTTCTAGAGGACCCAGGTTCAATTCCCAGTACCCACATGGCAGCTAACTGACACTCCCACACAGACATACATACCAGCAAAAACAACAATGCACACAGAAAAAGCATTCAAGCACATCAATTTTTCCCAATAAAATCTCTCAATAGTAATCATCTTTACATATTTTTACTGTACTTTAAAATATTTAAAAGTTCACCACAATTAATATAAACATTTAAATTAATCTTTTAAGAAAGCATCTCTGCTGAGCAGTGGTGGCCCACACCTTTATTCCCAGTGCTCATGAGGCAGAGGCAGTCAGATTTGTGAGAGTTCAAGGCCAGCCTAATCTACCTGCAGTCAATTTCTTTTACAAACAAAATATGTTAAAAACCCTAAAACATTGCAGGTTAGTGGTTTAATCCTAGCACGTGGGAAGCAGCGGCAGGCTGTCTCTGAGTTTGAAGCTAGCCTGGTCTACAGAGAGTTGCAGGACAGCCAGGGCTACACAGAGAAACAAACCTGTCTTGAAAAATAGAAACAAACAAATAAACCCCTCCAAAAACCCTATGGTATGACATAAAAGAAAACACTAATTGTGGTAGAAAAACAATACATGAAATCCGATACGTCTTCTACAATGTCCCTCTAAGTTCTGTGGAAGAATCATTAGAGCCAAAGTCCTTAGAGGACAAAGGAGAAGAGCAAGCATCAGGTAGAGGAGGGCTGGAAGGTGTTTCCTGTTATCTTCTATGTGTGGGCTTTCATTGCACTGTTCTTCAACTAGGAAAAGGTCTCAGGGGCAAGTCCTGCTTCAGATGTCCCTTACCCCCTTGAGTACCGAGTAATGTGTTTGTGTAGTTTATGATTACAGGAGACAAGACTGTGAACACATGTGATTTACTCACTGGTCCTTCCCTTTAAAGATAAGAATGCGTTTAAGTTGGTTGTGTATGAAACTGGCAATCCCGTAATTCCTCACAAGACTCCACCAGAGAATACTGTCTTATTTCAAAATATTAGAAGCAAAGCCATTCTTTGTCCTATTTTCTTCCCAGATAAAAACATCAATTAATGTGTCTGTTTATTTTCAGAGAAAAATACAGATGAGTAGTTTAATTTTTCTTTATAAAAGCTAAATGCCCTCATAAAATATTTACTTTTCAAAAATTCTGAATGTGCAAATAACTTGAGAAACTTTGTTATGCTAAAAGAAAAACAAAAGTTAACAGAATTAACAGCATAGCTTCTAACAGGGGCCAGAGCAAGGGACATGTCTCAGGAAAACAAGCTGCTCACATGCCCAGAACACAACCCCCTGGGAGGAATTCTGTCTTTAACTCCTGGGTGGCAGAGCCCACGGGAATTACTCAGACTGAAAATCCCAAAGCTTGTTCACCTAGAGGGAAATGAGACAGATATGATTCAAGTGTAATTATTTCCTAGTAATAACACTAAAGAAAACAACTTTAAATGATCAAGGGTGTATGAGCTTCAACTTGAACAGGTAGAGAATAGTGATGTATTTACAAACACACCATTTGCTAGCTAAGGAAGGAAATACTCAGTGAATGTATACATGACATTTTTCTTCTTTAAAGTAATATTTTCTAAGGCACTCATATTTACTAATTATTAATACCCTTAAATGGTATTTCAAATAATAAAAAATTACAAACATTTGAGGACTTACTATGTGCTGGATATATTCTAAGTGGCTTACATGGTTTATTTTATTTACTCCTTAATAAGCCAGTTAAGATTTATTAAGTAAGTAGTAGTATTCCTATCTTATGAATAAAGAGCTGGGACATTTGTGTAAACAAACAAAACCAGAATTCAATATCAGGTATCTTGTCTCTAGAGCTCTTGCTTCTAATTTAGCTCCAGTTAATGTAAAAGTGAATTTTAACCCTATTACTATGCACGACTATTCCTGCAAGGCTGTAGATTCAGTTTCTGTGTGAACTTTCACCTCTCTGCCCTACAGGGACGACCTGACTCTCAGTGCCTCCCAGTTCTTCTTTTGGTTTCATCTGCTTTCCTCGGTAGCCTAGGCTCTCGTTAGTTCAATGCCTGAATATTCTCTCACAGCTGCTGAAGGAAAGAAAAAGCTTGTCTGTGTACGAGTAATCATTTCTGCTTTTCCCCAGCAAAGGTTTGCTGGGGTTTATCCAGGAAAAAGTCTGCCACCCGAGTGAAGTGAGTGAGTGAAGTGAGTCATCGCGACTGCCCAGCTAACATTTTCTGATATTGCATAGCACCCGCAGCACCTCCTCCAAACTTTTTCCAGACCTAATCCCCAAACATACCTATCCTTCTGGAAATCACTTTAAAATGTTTTTTTCTTCTTCTTTAAAATCCATTCAAAGCAGAGTTGGAAGATAACATACAAGATGCCCAGTTAAACTCTAAATTTCAAATGAGGAAGATTTTAGTATGTTAGAACTCCCATATTACATTATTAAAAGTACTTAAATGGTATTTAAGATGATTTAAAAATGATAAATTGGCCAGGCAGTGGTGGCACACACTTGGGAGGCAGAGCCAGGCGGATCTCTATGAGTTTGAGGCCAGCCTGGTCTACAGAGTTAGTTCAAAACTACACAGAGAAACCCTGTCTCAAATAAAAAAAAGAAGAAGAAGAAAAGAAAAGAAAAACAAACAAACAATAAATTGAGAACTACCAAATATTACATGAGACACAGTTAATACTAGTATACATACAGGAGCCTAAGGCAGGAGGATTACAAATTTGAGGCTAGCTTAGACAACTGAGATCTTAACACAAAACAAAACCACTTCCAAAAAAGCATTCATTGTTTATCTGAAACTCAAATTTAACTAGATAGCTAATAATTTAATTTATTACTAAGTCAAATGCTGGGGATGTCTTTCTGTATGCTGTGAATATAATGCTCTGACTGATGGATAAATAAAACACTGATTGGTCAGTAGACAGGCAGGAAGTATAGTATAGGCAGGATAAACAGAGAGGAGAATTCTGGGAACAGGAAGGCTGAGTCAGGAGACATAGCCAGCCGCCACCATGAGAAGCAAGATGTACAGATACCAGTAAGCCACGAGCCACGTGGCAAGGTATAGATTTATAGAAATGGGTTAACTTAAGATGTAAGATCTAGCTAGCAAGAAGCCTGCCATGGCCATACAGTTTATAAGTAATATAAGTCTCTATGTGTTTACTTGGGTCTGAGCAGCTGCAGGAGCTGGGTGGACACAGGAAAACTCCATCTACAGTCAAACCCAATCAAATTCCTTCTTTCCAATCCCAGAAGTGCCTTTCTTCTTTTCAAAGGCTAATTCTCTATTGTATTAGTCAGCTTTCCATCATTATAATGAAATGTCTATGGCAATTTACCTATAACGAGACAAGGTTTATTTCTTCCCATTGTTACAGAAGTTCTAGGCTAAGTCCAATGGCTGGAGCGCTTTGTGCCTCATGGCAGGCGCTCATGAGAGAACCAGTGACATCATGAGCTTGGAAACAAGGAGAGGGGCTCTACATTTCCCTCCAAGAACATGAACCCAATGATCTAAGTATCTTCCACTGACGAAGCCTTACTTTTTAAAGGTTCTACCACCTCCCAATAATGACAGCCTGGGGAACAAACATTTAACACATGAACCTTTGTAGGGACACTAAACCTTAACATCTATGGTATCCATCTTTCTCCTTACTTTCCTCTCTTCCTTGTTCTATATATTCAACACCTGTCTATGAACCCACACCTTTTGGCATATCACTTTGCAGTTCCTCTACAGAGAGACATTCTGATCCCCACCCCTTCAATATGGACTGAGCCACATAAACTGCTCTGTCTACAGAATGAATCAGAAGTACCAATATGTTATTTTGGAGTGTGGATCTCAAGATGCCTATGCATGTCTATTCGTCTTCTTAAGTACTTTTCCTGTTTCCAGGAGAAGAACATGGAAGCCACCTGGTCCCAGGATAAGAATGATAGGTAAGTGGAAGAGCCTAGTTTAGAGCAAAGCTACCAGGAGGTTCGCAGCTATGTTGAAAGCAGCCGATCTGCAGACAGGTGAGCTATAATAGTAATTACTGTCTTAGGCTCTGTGTTTTAGAATGTTTGTTACACAGCAAAAGCACATATCCTTTCTTTAAAAAAAAAAATCTATCAAAGCCTTATCCTGGCATTATTTCAAGTCACTTTCACGTACCCCCAAAGCATTACAGGAAAGTGGTAGTTCTTGCTTTCATTGCCTTGCCACTTAGTTCTATTATCTGCACCAATTCTCCTTCCCTGTCCCCATTCTCCATCTCTCTCCTTGGACAGGGTCTTACTGTCCAAGTGAAGCTCAGGCTGGCCTTACACCTGCAGCAACTTACCTCTCCTCCCTAGTGCTGAGATAAACCACCATAGCCAACAACCAATTCTCTTTCAACTGCCACCAAAAAGTGCGAATAATAGATCTATAGCTCTGGGACTCTCTCATCCACCCAAATATTTCACACAGGTTGAGAGGTTTGGTTATATCCAGAAACCAATTGTGGAAGGCAAGGAGAAGCCCTTCAGGTTCTAGCCTCCGGCAATTTTCATTTCACTCAGTGTTTGACATCAGTAAGTGGTAACAGCAGGCAGCAGCAGCAGCAGCAGCAGCAGCAGCAGCAGCAGCAGCAGCAGCAGCAGCAGCAAGTGGTACTCCCTAGCGTTACAGTCCTTTTCAGGTCACAAGTACTGACACCTTTAGCCCTTGTGCAGCCAGTGTTTGTTACAGCTCTCAGCCCAAGGTCTGAGACCCTTGGCCTTGAAGACTCGAGAGTTCTCTAGAATTTGTCTAGCAACCTGGCCTGCAGGTTCTCTTCTCCAGCATCTCAGAGCCTTTTGCCCCTTTTCAGTCTCTTTTGCCATCTCTCCCATCCCACCATACGCCTTCTTTACCTGGGCACTGCACAGTGTGGAGCTGCTGCTTCTGCTGCATTCACACCACGACCTGCTGATGGCTGAGTTGTTACTGCCACTGGGGTTCTGCTGCCTCTGCCATCACCGCCACCCTTCTGCTGTCTCTGCTGCTGCTGTGTTCCTCGCTTTACCAGCTCAGCAAGGCCACTCTATAGAAAGAAAGAAAGAAAGCACTTGAGAGACGCCTTTTATTGGACCAGATGCTGCAACACCGACAGGCAGCACAGTAGTGTCTCTCAGGCAACTCACTAAGTGAGCCTGAGCTCTCTGCTTATACAGCCCCAAAAAGGGATGCCTGGATCACTTGGTGTTGCCTCTTGGCATTAATCACGGTCATTAAGGTATATATTCTGGACTAGCCATATAGCCATGCCTCTTAGCACCAGTCACAACAATATTTAGACCATCATCAGAAATGCTTTGGCTCTGGTCAAGGTGGAAATGGTTGCAGGGTCACTTACAGTTCTTTGAGACTTGTGATAGCAAAAAGTTCAGTACACTCTGTTTCAAAGAGCTCTGGCTGAGACTGCACCATCAGGAGCCAGGGACAACCAGCTGCCATCCTCCTGTAGCTTGTCAAGGTGTCTATGGAGTGTTCCCGACAGCTGCTGCGGGTATATTGGTAGCCCACTTGGTTATGTGACTGGGCGTCCTTTTGCTTAAGACAGCCAGAGTAGAAAGGGAGAGTCCAACAGCTGCTGGAGGGAGCCACATTCCTCATCCCCAGCACCAATGCATCCTTACAGGGAAATAAGCATCACAAGGAGTGCTTAAAATATGAACATAAAGACCTTATCAACACTAGTGTGATCTTAATAGATTTAAATAATGCCTTTACAGTGCTTGTCATCTACTAGTGACCTAGGGAAAGGTGGGTCCCTTGTATCCCTCTTGCCGGGCGGTGGTGGCGCATTCCTTTAATCCCAGCACTCGGGAGGCAGAGGCAGGCGGATCTCTGTGAGTTTGAGGCCAGCCTGGGCTACCAAGTGAGTTCTGGGAAAGGCGCAAAGCTACACAGAGAAACCCTGTCTCGAAAAACAAAAAACAAAAACAAAAAACAAAAAACAAAACAAACAAACAAAAATCTCCCTCCCTCCCCCCTCTCTCTGGTGATTTGAACAGGTACAGCCCACACAGACTCATATATTTGAATGTTTCAACTTTACTATGTAGCCTTGTTGGAGTAGGTGTGGCCTTGTTGGAGGAAGTGTGTCACTGTGGGGGCAGGCTTTGAGGTCTCATATGCTCAAGCTATGCCCATTGTCCATTGTGGTCTTCCTGTCCTGTGAGACCTTTCACATGCACAGTTCACTTCCTGCTGCCTGCAGATCAAGATGCAGAACTCTCAGCTCCTTCTCCAGCACCGTGTCTGCCTGCACGCTGCCATGTCCTGCCATGATGATAATGGACTAAACCTCTGAAAGTGTAAGCCAGCCAGTCTCTCTCTGTGTCTCTCTCTTTCTCTCTGGTTTTTCAGGACAGGGCTTCTCTGTGTAGCCCTGGCTGTCCTGGAACTGGCTTTGTAGACCAGGCTGGCTTAGAACTCACAGAGGTCCGCTTGCCTCTGCCTCTTGAGTGCTTCGACTAAAGGCGTGGGCCGCCACTGCCGGCTGCAGCAGCATTCTTTGTTTCACGGATTGCTTACCGACTCCCGGTGCTCATCTTTTCTCATTCTTCCAGAAATTTAGTCGCTCTCCCAAGAGTGAACATCATACATCTGATTCATACAATTTTTATCAATACCATAATCTTCCTTTTAAGCTCTAGTTCAGTTTCTCTATAAGAGGGCTTGTTAATATTCAAATTGCGGGAGTTCCACACCTAAAAAGTCAAAATTAGTAAGCCGGGCGTGGTCCCTGAGACTGAGTTTCCTACAGATTCTGAGGTGATGCTGGTGGCGTGTCAATGACCCCCACACTGAGGCCCACACTCAGAATTCCATGTTTCCAACTATCTAACAGTCTCCACCTGGTTACTAACAGGTGCCACGAGTACTCACTCAGCCCTTTTGTTGTGGTTTATTTGGAAACAGAAGTCTTACTATGTAGCCCTGGCTGGCCTGGAAGTAACTCCACAGACCAGGGCTGTCTCAAACTCAAGAGATCTGTGTGTCTCTCTTTGACTCTTGAGTGCCACCACACCCGGCCTTCATGTAGGGATTTGTTTGTTTGTTTGTTTGTTTTTCAAGACAGGGTTTCTCTGTGTTGCAGCTCTGGCAGTTCTGGAACTTGCTTTGTAGACCAACACCCGGCAGCACACACCTTTAATTCCAGCACTCGGGAGGCTGAGCCAGGCAGATCTCTGTGAGTTCGAGGCCAGCTTTGCCTACAGAGCGAGATCCAGGACAGGCTCCAAAACTACTAAAAGAAACTCTGTCTCGAAAAAAACAAACAACAACAAAGGTGTGTGCCACTATACCTGGTTTGGGGTTTTTTTTTTTTTTTTTGGTTTTTTGAGACAGGGTTTCTCTGTGTAGCTTTGCGCCGTTCCTGGAACTCACTTGGTAGCCCAGGCTGGCCTCGAACTCACAGAGATCCACCTGCCTCTGCCTCCCGAGTGCTGGGATTAAAGGCGTGTGCCACCACCGCCCGGCTCTTGTTTTGTTTTTTAACTAGAGCTTGGGAACCAATTTGGCAATTGGACTAAATAATACAAAGCAGAATTTATCAAGGAGATCACTGAATCAAGCTGAAGAACCATATTCCAAATAAGAAAGGAACCAGAAAAGAGATCATTTGACAATAAGATCCTACTTCTAAGTCTAATGAGGTATACTGAGCATTTGTTATGGTTTTGAGACCTCCTATTTGAACCAACTCCAAATCTGAGTCAGCTAGCCACCCCTTTATTGGTGAAACTATTACGGCCACTCCACATAGCTAAAAGGGAGGTTTATTTTATGGGGTAACTTACAAGTGAAGGGATAGGTTGCAAGGTCTGGGAAAGGTGTGGCGTAGTCCGGCAGTGTAGGAACCAAGAGAACCCGCGCATCAGTTCCTTGGGTCTTCAGTGTCCTCTCTCAACCCCGCCTTGTAGGCGTGACTGTTACCAAAGCCTCAATGGGGGTTGGAACTTCCAGATCAAAGCTGGAATGGCTACCCACTACACCCCTTAGTTACAAAGGTGACTGTTAGGATTAGGGTGGAAGGAGTCATAAAGAATTCTTTTTCATCTTGTCTTAGTACAGGCCTCATAATCAATCAGGTGGACTAGTACCACAGCTCTGGGCTAGTTGTCATGCTCCTGATATAACCCCCAACTCTCCACATCATCTTCAGTTATCTTTAAGATAGGCGTCATTTTCTCCCTTGGCTGTCTAGCACAGCACTACTTCCCTATCTGTTTTTCTTTTCTTTTCTTTTTCTTGAGCAATAAATTGCTTTCCTTTATACAAGCTGTCAGGATACTTTCAATTGGCAAATTAAAAAAAAAACAAAACGAAGAAGTAGTTTGATTCCAGTGAATACGTACCATTGCAAATAAGAATCTAATGCCCTAGTAACCAGGCAAAGATAAAAAAATGGAGTAACAAAATGTTGTGTAGGAACTCATCTGGAAGCCTTGAAGAGATTGCCATCCATCACTAGACAGAAAACTTTTGTGACATGAGCAGAGTCCCACTGTGTCCCCAGCACCTACCAGACACAGTGCCTTGTATATATCAGATACTTGATGAAATCGTCTTAATGTCCTCCCTGGCTTTGTTACTAGCCTATTGTCTCTACTTCCTTCTTCACCATTAAACCCTTCCTGTATATAATTGTTAGAACAAGTCGACTGGAATTTCTTGATCAAACTCATCAGACACTCCTATACAAGCCACCAACTCTAATCTTGAGTCACTACGCAAACTCTTCCATGGTCTGTTGTAACAAAAATTTTTACAGGTTTTCTGTCAACAGTATTAATGGATAGCTTACTTTTTACTCTTTTGAAAATTTCTACTTTTGCAGTATCTCCGTTTTCTTCTTCTTGACAAAGAGGGTCTTGTGTAGCCCTGACTAACCTCAGACTTGCTATGCAGTCAAAGATGATCCGAACTCTGGCCTTCCTGCTATCACCTCCCAAGTCCTGGGGTAACAGATGATCAACTACACCCAGTTTAGATGGTACTGGGGAATCAAACCCGGGGCTTCATGTATACTAAGCAAGCGCTCTACCAACTTAGCTACTTCCCCAGACCTTCATTTTACAATGGTACATTTTCCCGACAATCAAACTACTTTTTCATTTTTTTAAGTTTATTTATTATGTATATAGTGTTCTGTCTACATATATGCTTGCTCGCCAGAAGAGGGCACCAGATCTCATTCTAGATGGTTGTGAGCCACCATGTGGTTGCTGGGAATTGAACTCAGGACCTCTGGAAGAGCAGCCAGTGCTCTTAACCGCTGAGCCCCTTTTCATTTTTCAGTAGGTGAAGCTGAAAGTGTTCCAACAAGTTGTATATAAAGGAAAGCAATTTATTGCTCAGAAAAGATAAAAGAGTACTACTATGGTAGACAGCCAAGGGAGAAAATGGTATGTATCTTAGAAATGACTGAAGATGATGTGGAGAGTAAGTTGGAGGTTACATCAGGAGCAAGACAACTAGCCCAGAAGCCATGGTGGTAGTGTCCCTTCACCTTACTTTTAATGTCTAGTTAAGATGCCATCCAGCAGTGTTCTCCGTTGTTTCATATGTATGACCTGCCACTAATTCTTTTTAAGCAAACATTAATTATACATAATGGGTTTCATTATAACCTTTTTTTTTTTTTTTTTTTTTTTTTTTTTTTTTTTCTCTGTGTAGCTTTGCGCCTTTTTCCTGGAACTCACTTGGTAGCCCAGGCTGGCCTCGAACTCACAGAGATCCGCCTGCCTCTGCCTCCCAAATGCTGGGATTAAAGGTGTGCGTCAACGCCGCCCGGCTAAAAGAAAAGATTTAATTGGGTTTATAGTTTCAGAGGGTTGGGGTCCGAATGGCAGAGCACAGGCATGGTGGCAGGAACAGTAAGAGCTTACCTCTTAATCCATAAGCAGGAGGCAGAAAGAGAACACTGGGAACGGCAGACTCTTCACTTCTAGAACTATAAGCTAAACAACTCCCTTTCTCTAAGTTTCTTTTGATCACGGTCTTTTATTATAGCAACAGAAAAGTAGCTAACATCATAGATTAAGAAAATAATTTTTAAAGATAATATCATACTGTGTAAACTATAAAAGCCCCTATTTTTCTTCTTCTTTACCGTGGTTTTTAGTCTTCCTCTTCAACATAGTTTTTAGTCTTTTAGTCTGTCAATTAATAAAGTTGCACAAGAACCAACAGCTGCTAACTTTTTTCCAGCAACTATTTTGGAAAATTCTAAAATAGCTTACAAAATTTATACAACAGAGATAAAAAAAAAAAAAACCAACCCCCCCCCAAAAAAAACCTTAAAGTTGTTAAAAAAAAAAAAAAAGGTCCACTTAGCCACAGGCAGTGCATACTTATTTTGGAATGCTCTAACCCTCTAAGACAACACAACTACTTCAACCTGTAGAACATTGTTACCCTGTCAATCTGAAGGTGAAGTGAGCAGGTCTCTCTCTCTCTCTCTCTCTCTCTCTCTCTCTCTCTCTCTCTCTCTGCCACACAATGTTTCCTGCACTAGCTGGCAGGACATACTGTGGTAAAGAGTGATGCCCACATGAAAAACACAACAAAATTGACTTTAAATCATATTGTAAAAATGTACACTAGTT